TATTGTAATAAGGAGATTTTTTTTAGGGGGAGGGGATGGGGGGCAGTAAAATGCAATGTGTATAGATAAAAAAATCCACAGGTTAGGGGCGCAAATTACTTGCCTTGCGGGTGCTGACAACCAAGCCTGCGCCACTGCTCAGAGCGACGAAGCGGATCGCGTGTAGGGACTTTTAATTTGTGGCTTGGTGAATGGAATGTCGGGGAGCAAGGATTTGGCTTTATTTCTCATGGTAGCTCTGTTTGGAATGGAGATAAGCTGTACAAAAAAGATGGTTTGCATCTTTCTCAAAGGGAACAAATGTTCTCAGTGAGCAGTTCAGAGGTTTTGCTAGGATGTATTTAAACTAGGAGGGGGGGGCAAAAGGGTGATAAAACATCAATCCAATTGTCCCCCAAAACAAGGACAGAAGGTGCCTGTAGCAAGTGTGTTAAAAAATTATAAGCTTAGAGTCATGTCTACAAATGCTCACAGTTTAGGGAATAAGATCCATGAACTTGTGGCAATAATGGCAACTGATAGAGTAGATTTAGTCGCTGTTACTGAGACATGGTACAATGAGAAAAATGACTGGGACATAGCAATACCAGGGTACTCTTTATATAGGAAAGATAGGGAAGGCAAGAAAGGGGGAGGGGTGGCCTTGTATGTGAAGGATAGCATAAAATCTAGCCTAATAAAAAGTTAGTGAGGCAAACATAGAGTCCCGTTTGGGCTAGAACAGGGTAGTATCACACAGTAACTTCGTGTAGGTGTGATTTATAGTAGGACAAATCCCAGAAACTGCTATGTTTTATAAAAATGGGTTAACCCTAGAAGGACCTGGCACCCAGACCACTTCATTAACCCATAAGGACAAACTTCTGGAATAAAGAGGTCATGACATGTCACACATGTCATGTGTCCTTAGGGAGTTAGGGACCTCAGGCACCCAAGCCACTTCAGCAGCTTAATGAAGTGGTCACAGGTCCTGCTCTAGAGATTTAACTTACATTTTTTATAAACATAACGAGATTCAGAGTAGCCCCTTCCCCTATCACTCTCTGGTGGCTGTCTCATTGACAGCCCACTTTAGAAACAAATTAACTTCTCACTGAATTTTCACAGTGAGCACTCACTGGCAAATCCATAAAAGCATTGTAAATGCTTTCCTATGCGAGGGGCTGAATGCGCGCACATCTCTTGCCGCGCGTGCGCTCAGCCGCGCGTGCGCATTCAGCCCAGGAGGAGGAACGGAGGAGGAGAGAAGGAGGAGAGCTCTCCGCCCAGCGCTGGAAAAAGGTAAGTTTTTAACCCTTTCCCCCTTCCAGAGACGGGCGGGAGGGGGTCCCTGAGGGTGGGGGCACCCTCAGGGCACTATAGTGACAGGAAAACGAGTATGTTTTCCTGGCACTATAGTGGTCCTTTAAGCTGAAGTGGTCTGGGTGCCTAGAGTGGTCCTTTAAGGTGTTAAACAAACAATCACTAAGACGAACACTGCGACTGCGAGACCGATTACTACTTTAACTTGTATTATTCCCAATGTATTAGAGAAAAACATGCTCATTTTAGGGCTCAATATAAAGGGCAGTAACCTTTTCTATTAGTTCTCTATAAATGGATGAAAATCTATATCCCGAGTGATAATTGTAAAGTAGCATGTTTTTTTCCATCTCCAATTGATAAAATTATTGTTTTATGAAAAATGCTTTTGTTGGAATAATTACTTGCTTCCAGTGTTGAGCAATTAATATTTTTGCTGCCATTAAGCAATGGGTAATCAAAATATCATGTTTTTTTTAACACCTACTGTACTATTTATATTTACCAGAGAAGTTTCTGGTTTTTTTTAATCAACGGTCTTCCAATAATATCCTTTACAGTTTTAAATACTAAGTCCCAAAATTGAACTATTCTAGGAAAATTCCACCATATATGATACGTTTCCCTCCTGATGTAAACATCTCCAACAAACTGGAGAATTAGAAGGGGAGATCCTCCTTACAGGCACCATGTACCACCTGTTCATGATTTTTTGAGAGAGGTTAAATTTTTGCTTCAATTTATCAAAAGTAGAGTTGAGTGAACCTGGACTGTAAAGTTCGGGTTCGTACCAAACATTACATTTTTTGGACCCGGACCCGAACACGGACATATCACTGTATGTTCGAGTTGGAGTTCGGTGTTCGGCGATTTAATGGTGCGTTTTGAAAGGCTGCAGGGCCGCCAATCAACAAGCGTTTGACTTGTGTGCCCTTAGAAGCCATCACAGCCATGCCTACTAATCTACTAATGGCATGGCTGTGATTGGCCAGTGCAGCATGTGACCCAGCTTCTATATATAAGCTGGAGTCGCGTAGCGCCGCACGCACATGAGGTCTTATTAGTGTGGGGAGAGGATGCTGCCACTGATAGGGACAGCTTAGGAAAGAATTCTTCAAACTAGTACATTAGTAGGGTACACTTCATATCTGAGAGTCAAATAGAAGCTTCAAATACCGCAGTTACATTTGAGTTTTAAAAAGTAAAATTATTTTGGTGCTAAGTAGTACATTAGTGGGATAGTACATTAGTGGGGTGCACTTCATATCTGAGAGTCAAATACTGCTGTTACATTGCAGTTTTAAAACTTAAAATTTTTTGGGTGCTAAACTGCTAAATAGTATTTTAATGGGGTGCACTTTATATCTGAGAGTCAAATAGAAGCATCTAATATTGTGCTTACAGTGCACTTGTAAAAATTCTAATTTTCTGGGTGCTAATCTGCTAAATAGTACATTTTAGGGCCTGATCTTCATATTTGAGAGTCAAATCGAAGCGTCTAATACTGTGCTTACAGCGCAGTGATAAACATTCTTATTTTCTGGGTGCTAATCTGCTAAATAGTACATTTGCAGTCTGCTCTTCATATCTGAGAGTCAAATAGAATTGTCAAATACTGCTGTTACATTGCAGTTTTAAAACTTAACATTTTTTGGGTGCTAAACTGCTAAATAGTATTTTAATAGGGTGCACTTTATATCTGAGAGTCAAATAGAAGCGTCTAATAATGTGCTTACAGCGCAGTGGTAAACATTCTTATTTTCTGGGTGCTAATCTGCTAAATAGTACATTTGCAGTCTGCTCTTCATATCTGAGAGTCAAATAGAAGCGTCTAATAGTGTGCTTACAGCACAGTGGTAAACATTCTTATTTTCTGGGTGCTAATCTGCTAAAAAGTACATTTTGGGGCATGCACTTCAAATCTGAGAGTCAAATAGAAGCGTCTAACAGTGTGCTTACAGCGCAGTGGTAAACATTTTTATTTTCTGGGTTCTAATCTGCTAAATAGTACATTTTGGGGCCTGCTCTTCATATCTACAAGTCATGCGACAACAAAATGAAACAAGTTTTAAAATATGTATGGGCCAACCAGTGGCTGTAAAAACAGAATTTTACTGGTTACATTCATGACTACACACTGTATAGTGAACAGGACCTTCATGTAGTGTGTTCTTTTTTTTTAACTCATACAGCATCCTTTCATGTGCTTTTCAGATGTCATATTGTGAATTACCAATTTTTGTGTAGCCTGATTTTTTTTTTTTTAAAGTGAAAAATAAGTGTTATTGTGATCGCTTCATATACAGAAGCATTAATATACATTTCTATATTGTGTAAAGACACAACTACAAAGTTAAAAACCAAACACCAAAACAATGTGCCAGACAATCTACCTGTGCATGGCTAGTGTGATACAATAAGTCTACATCTTAACAATGCAATAACCCACAGAAGATGGTCGAAAATTTTTTTTTGCAAATGGAACTTTGATTTGAATTTACTACATCGATCCCTTGTTTCACGCCTACAACACTTGTTACACAGATCTAAGGGATAGAAAACATATTGATATTTTCTACACTAGAAACTACCAGATAACAAGATGCAATATTTAAACCAGTTATCAATAGCTAAGAGGTACTTAAACAATATTGTAATTCTGGGGCATTACCCTCACAATTCAAACTGAGAGGTCAGTTTATAGGAAAAACTGTTGCCTGGATACTATTCTAAAACAATTTCCATATGTCCTTTGCAGACTTTACATGCTGGAAAAACACAGGTGCCAACTGCTGTGGCTTTCTGCAGTGTGCATACCGGCAAGGAGGGCAGGGATGAGGAGTGGGTGGAGGATGATGAGGTCCTAGACTCCACATGGAATCAAGTTCATGCGAGTGACGTGTGCAGTTTGGAGGAAGAGGTGCTGGTCGCACAGAGGCACCAGCACAGCAAAAGAGGGAGCAGGGTGCAAAAGCGGAGCGGCCGTCCCCTAGCACTCGTTGGCATGTATTAGCTTGAGAATTACCAGTTATCCAAGTAATACATGTAGCGATCAAAGGATCCATAATAGAGTTGAGCGAACCGAACTGCAAAGTTCGGGTTCGTACCAGATTTAACGATCCATTCATAGTTTCACAGTCAGGCGGGCAGTCCTGTCTGGGCGGCGGTCGGACGACAGGGACACAGTATGCCTGATGTTGAAGTTAGGAGTCATAGTGTGGAATGAATTAGCAGGGTCTGGTGCAGGGTAACCGCACGCCCACTGGTGTTAAGCACCAGCGTTTGTGCGGCCACATACCAGGGCCCTGATGCAGCTTCAGTAAAAAGAGTACTGGATACCAGAAGCCATCACCAGACTGATCCGCAACTTGGAGCAGGATGTGACATTCACTTTAGCGGCTGTGCGCGCTTTTGGCGTTCTCACCCTGCTGCTGCTCGCCGGTCTGTGGGTCTGTGCTGCAGCGTAACTTCGGCCTTCCCGCTCACCGCCTCATGAGACTGTGCGAGCAGCAGCAGGCGATAGTGGAGTTTCAGCTGCAGCATGCACGGGTCAGTGGCTCTGCACCAGACTTCCCTCCAATTGATCAGAGTTAAAGGATTTCAAGTGGTCTCATTACAATTACAGGGCTTTTAAAGAGTCCTGTATTGTTATTTGTCGTCACTACCTTCCCGCACCGGGAGTGGGTCATTTGCGTGCCTGCTGCCTTCCTTGCATGTGGTAGCCGTTTCTCAGGGTCCCTGTACGGAATGGAACCCTTATTCCCCGTTACCCGTGGTCACCGTGGTAGGCGCAGAAACTGGCATCGAAAGTTGATATGGATGACATCCAAATGCAAAGTCGCCATCACGGGGATGTGCGATTGGCCCGAGGTTCTCTAGAGTCAACAAAGTGCCTGTGAAACTATAATGTCAACAGCTACTCTGCGGAACAGAGTTGTTTTTTTTATGTCCCAATATTTTGGGGGCTACCCCAATTAAAATATATATATATATATATATATATATAAAAACAGTGTTGGCTACCTCATCCTCCTCCTCCACCGCCGCTTCCACCTACACCACCACTGTCACCGCCTCTTCAACCTATGGGTCACTTAGTATAAACTATGTACACAATAGCAGAGGCTTGTGAAGGTCTTTTCTCCATGCATCAGAAGTTGAGCATTTCTCCATGCATCAGGACTGCAAGAAATGCACCGCAGGCCGCAAATGTTTCTTTTTTTTGTATGTCCCAATATTTTGGGGGCTACCCCAATTAAAAAAATAGAAATAAAACAAAAAAAAAAACGAATAAAAAACAGTGTTGGCTACCTCATCCTCCTCCTCCACCGCCACTTCCACCTACACCGCCACAGTCACCGCCTCCTCAACCTATAGGTCACTTAGAATAAACTATGTACACATTAGCAGAGTCTTGTGAAGGCCTTTTCTCCATGCACCAAGAGTTGAGCTCAGTTTGAACAATAAAAGAGAATACCCTGCAGTCCAACCCTCTCTCAAATGGATAATTCTGGTGATCCTCCTGACAACCATGCTTTAGATTTTGATTTATGTTCTTCCAAAGCTAAAATCAAAGATTCCATCTAGTGCTATTTTATGGCTCAGCTGTAGTTTTAATTTTTAGGTTATTTTAAGTGATTTAACTATCCAAATTTGTTTGCAGGGCACTTGTCCTACTCTTACCCCCGTTTTACTTCCTTTTGCAGCTCTCTAGCCCATTCCAGGAGTTTTTTAGAGGCATTTTTGTGGTCAAAAGTTTGGGTTCCTGCCGGACCCGAACATCCAGGTGTCCGCTCAACTCAAAAGATAACATTTCATAATTCTCACATATTTCCCCTATTGTACATGTGATACTTATTTGTAATACTTCTTTAATTGGAACTCAACTGCAGAAACAATAAGTTTCACCTCCTTTTATATTGAAGTGAACAAGGTTGACTGTATCTTTAAATACACATGCAGGGAAGAAATGCAATGCTAGTTCCAACTTAATTAAGATGGAATGATTTATGAAAATTATGTTAATGAAGCTGGACAGGCTTGCAAATAGAATAAATTGATATTTGCAGGAAGAATTAGACTTAGTAGCAATCCCTTATTGACAAGAGAGAATTTTAGTGAAATTTAAATACTGTATAAATTAATTAATATGAATTGGTTTCCTTGGCAAAAAGGTTTACTTAACTTAGAGGCAGTTCTGGCAATGGAAGGGTTAATTCACCCAATGGAGGAGAAATTAGGAGTCTCTATTAATAAGCTGAGCGTTAGGAGTGGAGAGTAAGGAAGTCCGTTTTTACTAGCCGAGGTCTGGGAGTGGAGAAGGTAGAAGTCCGTTTTTACTAGCCGAGGTCTGGGAGTGGAGAAGGTAGAAGTCCGTTTTACAAGCCGAGGTCGAGAAGTGGAGAAGGTAGAAATCTGTTTACAAGCCGAGGTCGGGAGAGGAGTTGAGCCGGTAGCATCAAGTAGAGCAGCTGATCTCAATGCAGCACCTGAGTGAATAATCCAGCCCCTTGAATCTGGCGCGGTCTTCCTAAGTATCATGGAAGGACCGCGTCAGAGAAAGGGGCGGTGCTGAACGCCGTGAACCCGGAAGTGGGTTCCGGCGGCAGCATGAATGATAGAGTATACCTGACAGTACATTCCCGTTGTTTAGTCCAACTTCTTAAATCAATGTCAGGCATTACTGTCTCCAATATTCTAATATTAGAACCTTCATAAATCTTAATATTAATTTTTAGATATTTCTTTATACCTTGCCATAGGTTATCAATGCCTACTCTACTTGCTTCCAACTTATACCACGCCTGATCCTTCAAATCGCTAACTTGTAATTTATGGACGTGGATAATCATATTCGCCTGATAGGTGTTTATGATTATCGGATATCGGATATCCTATACCCCCTAGTATTTATTCAGGGTCTATTACCTCTCCAGATATAATTAGTAAAGCTGGATTGTATGATATCTAACCATTGATTTGGGATTGCTAGTGGGATCATTCAAAATAAGTATGCCCACTTGGGGAGGATATATGCTTTGATAGTATTAATTCTCTCCCACCAAGAGATTTCATAATATCGCCATTCTCTTAATAGCATGTTGGTATGTTTAATGAGTCTTAAAAAATTTAGTTCCATTATCACTTTTGGATCTGCGGTAATATCTATACCCAAATATCGTATGGCCTTTGATGTCCAAGTAAAATCAAAATCCTTTTTAAGTCTTTTAAGGTTATCGGCTTCAATATTTTTAATTAGAACCAATGTTTTATTCATATTTAATTTATAATTCGATACAATACTATATCTTTTAAATTCCTGCATTAAATGTGGTAGAGAGAAATGTGCATCTGTTACTGAAATAAGAATGTCATCGGCATGTAGACATATCTTTAATTCTCTGTTTTTTAATATCACCCCTTTGATCTGAGGGCTGCTTCTTATATTGATAGCAAGGGGTTCTATAGAGAGTATGTATAATAAAGGCGATAAAGGGCACCCCTGCCTCGTTCCATTTGATATATTGAACCAATCCGTACCACCAATCTAGTTGAAGGGGATGAATATAATGTACCAATCACATTAGCTATCCAGCCTTTTAGACCAAATCTGACCAAAACCTTTCTCAAAAATCCCCATCCGACCCTGTCGTAGGCCTTCTCTGCATCCATCGACAGGATCAGAAGGGGAGCTCCTTCCTGCTGGGCCCAGTCCAATATGTCTACCAGCTGGGTATCTCCCAAAATCATATAAATTCTAGCGGCAGAACTATGTGGTACTGATCTGTGTGTATAGTTTCGATCTGCTGGGTGGATCAATCTCCAACAGTCAAATAAATCAAATTTTTTTATAAGCCTACTCATTACAGCTGCCTGTTTAACTAATGTTTTATCCACATATTGGCCTGATCCAATATATTTATCAATACCAGGGTCCAGCACGCAATTAAAATCACTGACTATCAATAGTATACTCTTTCCAAAATTCTAGCCAACGTTCTAACAGGAGATTTATTAGGTAGATACATTTTAACCAGCGTGTGATCCTGCCCATTTAATTGGCCCACTAAGATAACATAGCCCCCCTGTTTATCCAGTTTTTGATACTGGCAAGAAAATGTAATATTTTTTTGAAAAAATTATTGCTACACTACATTTCTTTTTATTGTCTATTGAAGCACAAGATGTTGAAGGGAATTTACTATACTTAACTTCCTCTATTTTTTATTCGACCTCATGGGCTCTGACTACCAGTTCTGCTACGCCATCTGGGATGTGCTGGAGATGTTTGTGTAGCTCGTCTGCTACATAAGATTTCATGTCTCTTAAGAATCCTTGCATATCTTGTTTTGTTAGGGGAGCATCTGGGCCTGTCGGAGTGCATAACGTTGCTCATCTCGGAGTCTGAGTCGGAAAGTTGCAGGTTCAAAGATCGCGCTTGGCACTTGTGCTGGGATTGCTGTAGATTGTGATTGCTGTGGATTGCGGCAAGCCTTTAGTGGAGCTCCGAGGAGCTAATGCTGCCATCTTGGTTTAACCCCTTAAGGACACATGACATGTGTGACATGTCACGATTCCCTTTTATTCCAGACGTTTGGTCCTTAAGGGGTTAAGGTCAGGCTCCATCCTATTGCAAAATCTTTTAAAATGATGTAATAGTATGAAAAATAGATTTTATCATATTCAGAGTTTTATATATATTGAGGTCTAGGGGATAGTCACTAAATGTTGATTTTATTCACAGATCAAGGGGGGAAATTCACAGATAGAGGGGGGAAATATGGGGAGCAGTAAAACAAAAATCTATATTTAAATATCATATATTCCATAAATATATACTAGATAAATATATAAATATAGAATTTTTTTTTTGTAAATATCTTTTTTATTGAATTTTGTTCAAAGTTTAAAACGTACAGTCAATCGAGATGCGCAGATCTCCCAAATATCATTGGAAAGTAAGACACACAGGTCTCGAGGTGGACTGGATGGTTAACATATGGCTTGGAAGTATATTGCTTCAATTCAGGTTAACAGGTAAGTTGCCCTCCTATCTTGACCTGTCTATGTGCGGTTGGTGTGTATTCCTCTGTTTATGCCTACTCTCGTAGGCTGGTTTTCAGGTGTTACGGTAGGAAAACAGATTCTGTTTTGTTTACCTTTGTTGGCATTGATTTCGGTATGTGCAAGTACCTATTTGGGCTCGCAGGCCCACAGGTTTGTCGGACGCGCAGGTCCCTTGTATCTTATGTTGTCATTGGGTGGTGGGGTCGGGTGGTGGGGTGGGTATGAAAAGTATTGAGGGTCGAGGGTCTGCCTTCTTCTGGTTCCTATACTATGTTGGGATGTCTACCATGTACAGTCCTGAATCTGTCGTTGTAATTATCTTGTAGGAGCCTCTGCTGGAATTCATCCTTTGCTCTCTCTAAGATCCAATATGTCCATATGTCTGTATATGTCGTGGGGGCTGTCGAGGCTGTCATAGTCAGGTCCTCTATTGATCTGAGTTCCTTTATTTGGTAGAACCAGACCTTAAGGGGGGGGGGGGTTATCTTTTGTTTCCAGAATTGGGGAAGGATTTGTTTGGCTACGTTTAGTATCCTGATAGATTTCTTATATTTTGATCTGGGGACGGTTGTGTGGTGTAATAGCATTTCAGACAGTTCCAGGGGGGGTGGCACATCCAAAAACTTTTCTAGCATCCCATGTATCCCTTTCCAGTAGGGTTTAATCATATCGCAGTCCCACCAGATGTGTGTTGTGGTGCCCACCTCCCTCTCACACCTTCAGCATAACTCGGTGTGGTTTGAGTCTATTTTGTGTAGGAGATGTGGTGTTTTATACCAATGTGTCAACAGCTTATAGGCCATCTCTTGAGTTTTACTGTGTACTGAGCAGTGATGGGTGAAGTAGCAGGTGAAGTAGGTGAAGTAGCAAATAAAGTCCCATTCAGTGTCTGAGAATTTTCTGTCCAGGGCCGTCTCCCATTTCCCCATGAATGGGGGGTTTTCCGTGGGGGTCTCGGTTTGAAGTGTGGAGTACATTAAGGAGACTCCGT